ATCATCTTCTCTTCTCCAATAACGCCGAAGCAAAAGGTCTCTTCGTTTCATAGCCCTATAAAAACAAAGGTTTTTGGAGATTAACAAACTAAACTACTTGTGAAAATTTAACAAATCAATAGAGTTTAACAATTTCAAACCATGGCAGCCAATGGTTATATAATTGAATGTGAATTATATCTGTATGACCATCAAGATGCTCGACCACACTGCCCCGATAGAAGCAAAAATCCCACCTAAACCAAATGTAAATTACAAAGAAATCATCATTTGATCTAATTTACATAAATAAAGAAAAAAAACTACTAAAGAATTGCAAGTAGCTCTAACAGTTCCTCAGGAGCTCATTTGCAGCATTTTAACAGTTGACAAATCCTTTAATTTATGCAGATTGAGAATAAATACAGCAGCCTTACTCTGCTCTTGAAGTACCAAGCGACATAAGTGTACGAAAAACAACTTCAGAAGATTCATCAACAACACCAACAGCCATTATAGCCGGGTGATCATCCCAATGCTGATGACAAAAAAAAAAATAAATAAATAAAAATCCATTAAATATATTATTTATCACGTCATGCATGAAATTTAATTAAAAAGTTAAACTATATGTATAACCACAACTATATATACATATATGTTTACATATTTCCAATTTACTTATCATTTTATCTGTCATTAGGCTAAACCTGGGATTTTTTGCAATCATCCGTAAGCTAAAAGTTTATCGAAGAAGTTTACCCTGCCGTTGGAATCTCTGTCCTTTGCTTCTTTGAAAAGACGTAATCCTAAATGTACAACATAAATTAAGACATAAATTGTGGTATAGGGGAAATATCGGCCCGCAAAATTTAAATAGGTTAAAGTACGATGATGTTACCGTTTTGACAGCCGAATATTTTCCAAGGAGACGGTGCTATTACATCAGATGTCATTGCATTCACATGCATAGAAGATGCAGATGTCCAGTCGATGGACCTCTTATTTGCTATTCTCGTGGAAACACTCATGCTATTACCGAAAGGATTTTTTTTTTAAGAAAAAAGGTGATAAATCCGAAGGAAATACGAATTTCGGAGGCTAAATTGCATTTTTAGTCCTACTAATTTAGCGCCATAGCAATTTTAAGTCCACAAATTCTAATATTTCGCCTGTGATTTAATATTTTGCTTTCCAAATTTATAGGTTTTTTTTGTTAGAAAGTTAAGTCCTATAATTTAAAATTTTGTTGTAATTTCAGTGTAATTTGAAATTCTGTTGCAATATTAAATCACATGACCAAAGGCGAAAAATTGGAACCTTGAAACTAAAATTGCTATGACATTAAACCAACAGGACTAAAAATACATTTTTGCCGGAAATTTTTAAAAAAAATCTTCCAAGAAATACAAGGAAATAGAAATGTGATAAAGAGAGTTGAAATTACGAGAAAACGAGCAGCGCAAAATATATATTCCTACCTAAAAGGCTGCCATTTTCTTTCGGAATAAGAAGTCAAATCTTTTCCTGGGTTAAGTGCGGCGTTCTGTAGAGAATGAATCCACCTAGCAGCTTCCTCTGAACTTGTAACTCCAAGCTGTAAAATTTTCAAATACAATTGTCAATCCACTTCAACAAATTGTTTCGATTGTAAAAACTAAAAATCAATAATGTTGTGTACCTTCAGCCGATCGTTATGATTAGAAGTATTGTAAAGGGTGAAAATGAAAAATAGCTGAAAACGGTAGAAAATTTGATATAAGCATGTATATAAAGTATAATCCAAAAGCAAATCTTTTTTTTTTCAGTAAATATTTATAAAGAGAATTCATTTGCAGGGCATATACTTTTCTATTATGGCTCTCACGTCCATTGTCCACGACACGTATGCACGAATCTATTATTGCACTTCTTAAAGGTTCCTGCACGAAAAGTGGCCAGGAATTAATGAAATCAGGTGTTCATAATTAAATAATTTACATTGATTATCTTAAAATATTTACATTGCTGTTAGTTACATGGTTGTTTTGAGTGTCTTTCTATTCTATAGGCTACTACCATTGAATAATACAGTTTTGTACTGAAAAGTGATCGGTTGAAAATAAGGCTGGATCATCACATATAAGGAATCAGCCATTAGTATAAAATCGATCATCTTATTAGAAAAGATTATAATATGAAAAAAGCTAATGAAAAGACGAATCAAATTGTAGGAGATCGTGTGCAAATTGATGGCTTCCAACGAGTTAGCAAATTACACTAGGAAGTATGTACGGTTTTTGCATCAAGACATAGAATAATCACTCGAGCAAAATATACGTACGCCTACATATTCGCATCAGACATAGATACAAACAGTTACCATACGAAAAAAAAAAAGGGCAAGTTATGTAAAGTCTTGTAATCTCTTTTTCTGAGTCCAATATGAACTGCAGTACATGAAATTAAAACTGACTACGAATTTTATGTTCATGCAAACAGAAAATTGCACCTCTGTTTCAGAAGTAGGAATTGATTTGAAGCTCTTGAGGCAATTGTCTTCAAGAATGAAATATCTTTTACGCGAATATTGCAGGCCGAAACGAATGTAACGAATCATATAGAGCCACCCTTCCATTTTCGCTTCACTTTCCAAAGCCATGCCCACAAATTCTCAAGATTTTCCAAGAAAAAAAAAATGGAATATGTAAGTAAATGATGGAAAACCTCAAAAAATTATTTTAATTTATTAATTTCTTGATTATTCAGAGGCTCATTTCAAGAATGTCCCATTGTTGTTGTTTTGTCATGGCACATACATACAACACATGTAAGGAGAAAAATGTGCATACATTTGCTTTTCATGTGTTGTATGTATTTGTTTACAGACAAAAGAAATGTTTGAGGAAATTTTTTTGATAAATGACACTCTGATCCCAATAGGGATTCAGAGAATCACAGTGCAGAATTCGAGATTTTCTCTTTTATTTTTTTATTTTTCAATCTTCTCTGGTAAACTGCAAGATCATGGATTTTTTCCCTGTNCCATCTGTAAAAAGTTTGATTCAGGTGTTTATGGGAATGTCAATTTTTATTTGAATTACAAACAAGCCCTTGTTCTATACTGCAATTCTTTAATTTGCCACAGTTTAGATGCTTCCTTAATAATAATAATAATAATAATAATAATAATAATAATAATAATAAGAGAATAAGGTTTGTGAGCATTTCGTTTTTTGAGGGAGTAATATTTTGTTTGACATGTATTAATGTACGTACATACACATCATTAGTTAACACCATTTTTTTTTACTATTAGATTTCTATTGCTTTCGTAAACTAAAGTACTTGTACATTTTTAATTGGTCTTAGAACATAGTAATAAATTATGCTCCACAATTGTTTTCGTGAGATAGTATAATGAGTGTATGAAAAAAGTAGCTTTTCTGCTCAAGTTCTTTTGCCCATTACACGATTTATTTTTTTGCCACTTTTCCACACAAAAAAAAGAAAATAATAAAATAAAAAATCATTTCCCAAAAAATCATTCTAGACCAGTTCGAAGATTATAGATAATTTTCGACAAATACGAGCTGAGGAAGTACACAAATAATTTTTTTTTTGCTAATAAATGTTTTTTCTCTGGAGTGTCAAGTATAATACTGCAAGGAAGACTAAACCACCTTACCAAAATGTAAATAGTTTAAACTTGTCAAGGGCTTGCAGTGTTTAGTCCAGCAAAAGTTGCTGAACACAAAAGCTACAATATGTAGTGTCTTACATTTAAATCAGTAGCCAAAATGTTTCCACAAGTTGAAAAAAACCTACAACAGTTCGGAATAGTCTCGTCCCCGAATGATAAATGATCGTGTCGAAAAGTATGTAATCTCTAAAAACGATGTAAATGTATAGTTTCTTTCCGGTTTTAGCTAATCTGCAAACGAAATTGTCGTCCATATTGCCATCAACTTCCAAGTATAACAAGCCGACTGAAAATTGTTGCAATATGCATCAGTACACGAAAAATGAACATGGCACCGAACTCAATTGCCAAAAAATGAAAAAGAAACAAAAAACATTGATATTTTACAGATTATAATATAATAATTTGCTGTACCAAACAAGAGGTATCTCACTGGCAAATAGGAACATTCAAGGGGGTAATAGTAATTATAGTATATATCTATGAGATATATATATATATATAATTTCAGGCTATCAAATCAATGCAAATGACAAAATTTCCCCCCTCAAATTTTCAATTAATTATGGTAAAACCATTAAATTTTATATTAATCAAGTGTAATCATATTTTATTAATTATCTATCATACAATAGTTGTTACTAAAATAAACTAATTATAACATACATTAAATGGTATATGTACGTTACATAATCATAAAAATTTATACTGCATTTTTTACCAAGCTATTTATTCTTAAATAATGTTAGTTTTTAATTATATAATTAATTTAATGACATGGAGAAACTCCTTAAAAAATTTTATAATAATAATAATAAATATTATTGTTTCAATAATTTTCTAGGTAATTAGTTGGTCATGATCCCTCAAAGTAACAAAAAATATGTTATGTATTACATTTTATGCAATCAATATCCAAATTCATGTGTAGTTAAAATTTATAAGAATGTGATATATACATTATCTATTTTATAATTTTGATGTTATATATACACATAATTTATAATACTTGATATTTTATATTTGTGCATGTGCACAAGAGATAAACTACCAGTATATATTATTAATCTATGGTAGCTTTTGAAATTAAACCTTGAAAGGATTAAAAAAAAGTTGCAGAAAAGACGGGAGAAATGGTTACCTTTCAAAGTCTCATTAAATTGTTAAGACGTTTCATTTCCGTAACGAAAGATCTATGTGAAGGTATGCAACACAGGTGATGAAGAAAAGAAAAAATGCAGAAGTCAACATCAGGGGTTCTGCAAGCATAAATATTGGGTTGAACTTGTAATGAACCTGCATATAATCGAACAAAATAATGGATTTAGCCAAATGAAGTAATAGATGAGTATACAACAAAGTATAAAGTTAACTATATGAAAAAGTTTACATTATACATTAACGCTTTCGTTAGTCAGACCTGAGAACATAAGTATGGTAGGTCTACCCGCCTAACCATTAGACCACTTCACACAAAAATTTGTGAAAAGCATATTATTCGCTCATCTTACATTTTCTCTCAATTTTATCAATACAACTTTTAAAATAAAACTCAGTCATCACTAGACATTTGTCTATAAAATCTACAACCCATTACAAACATATTTCTAACCACCACTTGCTGTTTTTATTAATTTTTCATCAAATCAACTTTAACAATTACTTTTCCATCATACAATCATTCATACTTTCCAAGTTATTTCCAAAGGAGAAGAGAGGGACAAAGGGAGAGGCACAGAGAGAGAGAGAGAGAGAGAGAGAGAGAGAGTTTTCTAATATAATAAAGATGATCAAAATAAATTTTCTTCACTTTATTTATTTGTTATGGTAGATTATGGGGGCTTGCTTAGATAAGGAAGAATAAAACTATAGTGATTCGCTCATGGTCTTTACTGTTAGATTCTATACGTTCGGCAAAGGAGTTCATTATAAAAGATCAATCATGCAATTTATGGTCGAATACCAATATACCATAAGACAATTGGCCACATTAACTGCATTCATAATTTACCTGGAATGGAACATTGTGCTCAGGAACCACATTGTTCTTTTTTAGAACCACTACAGGCCGTCCAATCACATCGAGGTACGAGTGCTTTGTCTGTATACATTGAAACGCGAAAAAAGCAATTGAGCATCCAATATATGCATATATTATTTCCCAATCCAATACAACAAAGACAGTTAAAATGTAAACTCTAATAATGCTGAATGTGTCATTATATACTGGTTGGTAAAACGCAGATAATGAAGCTGATAATTATTTAAGAAAAAAAAATCATCAAATTCAAGCAGAAAAAGAAAACCTAACAGCTAATTCAATTGAATTTCACCGGCATCTAC